GAGCCACGCCTTGTCGTGTCGCCCTTCTCTGCAACGAGCCACGCCTCGTGGTGTCGCCCTTCTCTGCAACGCAACGAGCTACGCCGCACAGCACCGCCCTGCACAATACACACGGCATACTACACTACTTACATCTTTTAAGACGCCATCTTGATTGATTATAGCATAAGTGTCGTGGATATGCCTGAAGAGTTTCAGTAACGTCTTCTCTGTAAATACTTTAATTAGTTCGCTGTGTTCGTCCATGCCTAACAATAAAATAATAAGAAGCATCAATAATAACATTGTAATAATTTTTCCCCTATTAATCTTTCCACTCCTAGAGAACATTGTGTACCACGTGGCAACAAAGCATGATCAAGAACCTTTATTGTAGCTTCAACGTGATATGCTGCAGACATATTCAGACACTCAGCGCGCTCTTGAAGACACGCATGATTTTTTTAAATATAAAGATGGATAGTTCTGGAAATAGCAGTAGACACACACATATGTAATCAGGTAGAACATCTACATTCTAAAACACCTGCCATTAGTAAGTACATAAAATGAGTAGTTGTGAATGATTATTAATCGTGTTATGCGTGACATGTCGTCGGCCTGCCAATTAAATCCGTCACGTGTTTATAGCAAATGCTAGGTCATAGCGAAGGCGATATTTCCAGTACAGTAAAGCACAAACAACTGACAAATCTGACACACGAGTAACAAGTCACCAACATATGTAGGAAGGGACGTTAGTATTGACATGTTGGGCGAAGTTTATGAGAACAAAACAAAATTTGTACGGAGGTGTGCATTGCATGTCATTGTTATTGATAAATAAACCAGAGCCCTTTCCATATATGATTTCATACGGGATAATGATTTGAATATATCATATGTGTGAATATAGTTTGTTGAACCCTGCATCAGAACTATCTAGGTCAGCTATTGTAGTATATAAATATATTAATATGATTTCACGCAGACTAATACAAATTATTTTATGTGTACAATACGTCCTCACGACCCACTAAACTCGATGAATCATTCAGACTGGTGCCAGTCACCTCATGTGTTATATGCACTAATGAACGTGTGAACAAACATGTGACACACTGGAGTCGTGAGTCAGTGGTTAAGCACGGAGCTTAAAGAGATTCATGGGTTCACTCATATTCCAAACACTTCGACGCGCGCTCCTTAACATCACTGCACATGACAAGTTTGCATACGAGTCATTTGCATATTCGGATATGTTCGAAATTTAAGTCCATGCCGGTTAACACAAGGCGCCCGGTTACTTTAATCACTGAATAAAAGATTAGGTTAATTGAAATAAATATATGCATGATTAATGTTAACAAATAGTTGTCAAGACATTATATTATACAATAAATTACTAACTTTATAACTGGCGATTTGCGTTGTGTATGGCTGTTAGGCGCGGATAATTCGAATCAGTTTAAGACAAGAATACTATAAAATATTAAACAATATAGAGAACTAGATAAACGAGGATGTTACGTTTTTTTTTTCAAGTGAAAACATTGTTTAATGTAAGTTTCTATACCAGCTAGATACGTAAATAGAACTTTTACACCATTACGTAAACAACGTAATTCAGGATCATACAATTTTGAGTTTTTACTGAAGTCAAATATTAATAAATAATTCGGTTGCCGCTTAAAATTGTGTGATGCGTTTTTGGATAAAAAAAAAACTGCTGAAAAGTCAGTGTACGTAGTGAGATCATTTCAGTAAATGCAAAAGGAAACATATGTACATTTGAGTGAGTTTCATTTATGTATGTTACTTTGCCGCTGTATTTCCACCAATATCCCTAAGGTTAAACTCACGTTACTCGTGGCAAAAAATAAATAAAAACTGTGAAAAGTTATACCAAAACGTAATAAAGTATGGTTGGGGTATTTTATATAACACGTGGCGACTGGCATTACTCGGCAATGCCTCCCTCCCACCTGTCAGAATCATGCGAAATTAGCTCAGGTGACCAGACGCCTCTAGTATATTGACGCCTTCATGGCCAGTCAACAGGTGTATTACCATTCTATTATAAGAAGCAATTTTACATTCAATCTTCTATATTTTATCCGTATTTCAATTAGTAGTTTTAGGTGTCTGGGATAACAACATAGGTATCGTATTTACAGTGTGAGAATACATATTTAAACTATGCACTTTTTTTAAATAATCGCATAATTTCAAATTGATCGCAGAGATACACTTGTAATTAGACCACCTAATGTATGAGAACGTGTGATACGGTGTAGCGATCAGTGTCATTCATGTTGTTTGACATAACAAAGTTGTTATTCTTCGCTCTGATAATCGATTGCGGACTTTCGGAAACGATGGATCGATTGAACTTCAACAAGATTAGAAGATTATGCAAATTTTTAATATAATCTTGCTATTGACCCATTTCGTAGTTGTTGCTGTGATAAGAATGTCAAATTCACATAAATTGTTACCAATTTGAGATTTGTTGCCAATTCTTTTATTCGCATGAGCCAGGCAACTTCCAAAAAAATAGAACAGTGGATCATAGAGCATCGTAAATCTGTGTTATTCCTCGGCTCTTCTCGCTATCCATTATACATAGAACCTCAGACTAGTATTACTAGTCTGAGATAGAACTAATGATGCATTTCCGGATACGGAAGTATTCCAACGAACCAGGCAACCGATCACAAGACATAAATTAACCATGCATAATGTAATGAATCGACTATTAATTTTCGCAGCTGTTTTATTAAATCACAAACAGAGATATTATATATTGGCGACTCAACAATTTTATAGTTGGACCAGGCTTGTCTGTTTTTCTCTCTTTTTTCAAGTATCACCGACACACGGGCTATTAGATTTTGGAACATATACATTAGAGTCATTTGCAAACTGTATGATTAATAATTACGAATCATACGAGGATATTCATGTATACGTATTAATACTGTGAACAATTGGGGAACGGAAGCTAGCAAGCAATAATATCCTACTGAAAGAACGACCTAATTGGGGTACGCTATCATATGATCGGTGAAACGTCTCAAGGCGCATGACTGTTATTCGAGAGCGTATCCGTATACTAATGATAGACTCCAACGGGCATTACTAAAAATCAAATAGCGAAAACCTGCACAGAGACTATTTCCAAATATCCCAGCTAGAAAAAAGAATTGTGCGTGCCCTTATATGACTCACCTTTTTTGCACAGTGCCGTAGTAGTGATAAGAAGTAGGTCCAGGTCATTGCCCGTCGTGAACACGTTGTAAAGGTCGGTCCCACGGCTTACTAAAGCCCGATTGATATTGTTCAGTAAATCTTCCGGGAGTGGAGCGTTGTGTCCGTCTCGTTCCTCGTCCGCGTTTCGGGACTGCATGGTGGTGTCTTCTCGTCGTATACTGGTTGGTAGATCCATATGTGCCGTGCGTCGCACCGAGCAATATTGGTCTCATGAGATAAGGTAAATGTGATGCAGAGAGCACCTCCTAATGACAACAGGAAAAAATACAACTTATAATATATATATGTCCTCCAGCTGAACAATACACCATAGCGGCAAGTCGATTGGTATATTAACTCGCGTTAATATGTGGCTGGTATTACCACATGTACAATAGCTAAATGTGCAACCATATTAAACATGGTAATGCACACGTACGGTACTTTTGCATCACACGCAAGCATTCACATTTTTATGTAACTATCCAATCACTAGAAACTCATTATCAATTCATTATCAATTCATTATCAACGTTTGATGGCAATAGGGTAAGATCAACCCTACACCACGCTATTTTGTCCCAACTGTAATATAACAATTTTTAGTTGTTCATCGTTATAACGAATTAATTATCGCAATTATTGTTCTTCACTACTTAGATTATGATGACAATTAACAAGTCCAGTCGTTTGCTTGCCTGAAGTTATCGATAACATCATTAAATGAATTCGCCAAGGAGAGAAAATAGGGAGATGTGATTCAGCCCACGTGTAGATTTTTAACAGACGCAGCAAAACTAATTTCGAGAGCGACTTCTATTTTATTAAGACGAATTTTCGATCTCGAGCTTATTTCAATTCTAATGCATCCATCTAACTGAAGAAATTCGAAACGTATTCAAATATTGCATTACTGAGTTCGTTACTTGTGCTGCGTGAAATGCATTGTGGGAGTAAATTATCATTAAATATAATGTATAAATATTCTCACATTGGAAACACGCGAACTGATTTTAAAATTTTGAAAGAATACAAGGATATATACATTTTTCAACCAAATTCACTAAGCAGCATGTCTTGATATTTTCACAGATACGCGTTCATTTTGCCATATTGCATTGCATTTGCTCCTATGGTGTTGATGAACTCGAAGCCTTGCACTTATGCCTTGGAACAAACTAACACAGACTGATAACCTCTTCTTGATGGGGCATACAACGATTAACTATCTACCAATTATCGACCGTGCTTGTGTTAACACATTGTTCTCCTGAATGGCGGACGTGCGGGGTGATATTTTACTTATCCTTTGTGTAACACGGCGTATAAATAACTACCAGAACGCGACGGTAATGTGGAATTATGGTAAACGTCGGTGTTCCTTATATTCCGTATAGAACTGCGCAAAGATAGGGGCAATAATCAAGGATTTCAGGTTACACTAACCTATTCAACTGCTGTGTGGGTGTCGGTGTCACGTGGTAATAGATGGGTATGTCGTGAAATCCAACATTTTATTTAACCTCGTTCGCAGCCAGTCATGCAATAATCACTAGAATAGTCCTAAAACGGCAAGCCAATAAAGTACGGATTATCGAAAAGAATCCCGAAATCAGATACATCAACATGGAGTGCGATTTGCGTAGTGAAATTTGGTAGCCATCGTTCCATTGAACACCCCGAGCCGCGGCTTAATCTGTGTTTTTGTGTCACAGCCCAGGCATCACTTACATACTTACGAGCTTGTGTCCTGCATAACCTATTATGACGTAATCAGTATCACCAACAGACTGGCAAACTGTGATCTGTTAAAGACACATTCACATCATCATCGCATTCACCGCGATGACACGTGCACGTTTTCCAATAAATCGAGCCTTCCACGACGAAACGCTCCTGTGACGTAGGATCGGAGTGCGTAATGCCTTTAAACTGTATCTCGTTGCGCAGTCGTTGGTCATTTGTAACAAATTGCTAAAAACCCATATAAATGAATAGGGATATCATGATTAAACTTACATTCGAAACCCCGAATTGTATTTGCGGCTACAAACTGATATCTTTCATATTGATTAATTCCCATTTACATTTTCACAATTTAAAAAAAAAAGTACATTAGGAATGTCACAGAACACAGAATCGCTTTCCCGAAGATTCCATTTATTTTCTGAATCGTAAAATTCGTGCATATATGTCTCTTGCAAAATTAAATCGATTCACAGAGTTTCGGGAACTCGGAGTTCAAAGTAGCTCCAAAGACATCGTCAATAACACATTTGTTTATCTCCGTTTTGACATATCGATTTTATAACCCGCACATTTATTGTTGTTGTCATTATCAGCTGCAGTGTTCGCGAACCAACAAAACTGTTCTCAGTACAGCATGCTCCGTTGAGAAAAACGGAAGTTGTGTATACCATTGAATCCTATTCATCGTTACCTATTCATAACTAGCACAGAAAATAATTTTCTTTTCTTTTTATAAATATAAAGTGCAGCGTTATGAGTACGAAAATTCAAATTCCAAAATGACGACTACAAACGAGAAAGATTAACACCGGACTGTTTAGAATTCAATCAGACACACTGCGAAAATCTCTGAAGCCCCCTGAGCGATAACGTGACTTGCAATTTAAATACTGACAATTCCGTTCATAATGACGTCACGTGTAGGTGATCACTGTCAGTTTCTACCTACTAGTATGTGTACCCAGCAATTAGGTGAAGGCTGATCGAGGCTGGCGACAAAACACAAATAGATAAAACAGAATTATAAAATTAATATCATTATAGGGACATTCCCTATTTTTGCCATGCACCAAGGGTATAGTTGTTACCATTTTAACCCAATATTTAGCAGAGGACCTTTTGGTATGATGTTGTGAAATATAATATTCTCACATGATAATACAAATTGCTTTCTATGAACTACGTGTCATAAGTTGAACCAATTATCTATAGTGACCATCAGACCATTTAAATACAATTACTACAGACATATATCAGCATGTAGTCCTTAATTTCACGAAACAAAATTGATTTTATCACGTGCTGTTTATTTTGTATTTCTCATTTTTGATCTTAAGTTCCTTTTTTTGGAGGAGAGTGTTTTTTTAAGGAGGGCGATGATTTT